GCTCCGGAAACCTTTCTGGCGACATTATGTAGGTCAGAGGTCATGGTGACCTACATATGGTACGCGACACACCGCCCTTCCATGCATGTACCTACAAACCAAGATTCATAACCGTAGTTGAAATAGTACGGTAGATATGCTCCGGAAACCTTTCTGGCGACATTATGTAGGTCAGAGGTCACGGTAGAGGTCACAGTGAATATACATATGGTACGCGACACATGGCCTTCTATGCATGTACCCACAAATAGCACAGGAGATATGCTTCGGAAACCTTTCGGACGGACACACGGACGGCCGGACGAAGCAAACACTATATACCCCGACTTCGTCGAAGCGGGGGTATAAAAAGGAAAATAGAAGGTACAAAGAATGTAGAGAAAGGAGGGAAGGGGAGACGGTAGACGTGGAGGAGATAGGAGTCGTCTGTCCTTTATCGTCAAATGTACAATCTCCTCCACCACTCTGCTTAGGTTTCGGTGAACGTAAATTGAACATTTTGCACACTAAACTTAGACATCAGGGTAGTCCACTTAAAAATGATTTTTTGACTACGTCTCCCACATGTTTGAACTTTTTGTCATGCACTCAAGATGTCTTGGATTAAAAAAATTACTAACCCCTCAAATCAGGCAGGATGGAAAACACTATTATTAGACAAACTAGAGTGCTTTGGAGGCGACAAAATTTTCAAAATGACAAAAGACAGATTAATGTTATTAGCCAAAAAATTTAATACCTTTTGGATGGAAGTGTTTACGGCTTGGGCCTCTATGCAAGAAAATGCATCCCCCCACAACCCCAGAGAAGGTGGTCTCGCAACCAATTTGGTATAATTATTTTATTAAAAGAGGCAATAATTGCATTCTTTATGAAAACTGGTGTAAAAAATATGTATTTTTTTATTTCTGACTTGTTAGAAAATAATCAATTCATGTCTTGTGATATTTTTTCTCAAAAGTATAATATAAATGTAAATTTTATAGATTACTATGGAGTTATTAATGCCATACCAAGAAATTGGAAAGACATTTTGCAGAATATAAATGGTGACATACCTTATATAACTTATAAATCAATAATCTATCTTAATACACATGATAAAGTTACTAATTATTTCTATCATATTCTTCTCCAAACTATCTCTGAAAAACCGGTGAATAGTCAAAGAAAATGGCAAGAAGATCTCCATAGTAATATTAGTGAAGAATCTTGGGAATATTTTAACTCGATTCCAAGGGCCATAACTGATGACACAAAACTTATTAACTTTCAGTATAAAATCATACACAGGATCATCTACACCAACACAAAATTAATGAGATGCAAATTAGCTGAAACTGAAAATTGCACATTTGGTACAAATGAGAGAGAAACTATTATACATCTTTTTGGGGAATGCAGTATAATAAAAACTTTTTGGTTATGGCTGATAGATACGCTAGAAAATAAGTACCAAATTATCAATTATCTTGCCCAGACACCCAACAACTTTTATTTTTGGTGTAGTAGAAAAAGAACATGGAGACAAGATTAATTTTGTATTGCTCATTATGAGATACTATATATATTTATGTAAGTTAAAAAACACTGCTCCTACCATTCTGGAAGGGAAAACATACCTTATTTTTTATAATAAAATAGAAGATATGGGTCTGTATGCCTATAACAACAAGAAGCAAGAAAAAATCAAATGCAAATGGATTTTTATCAATCATTTATTTACTTAACTGAGCTGACATTGTTAATATATTTTGGGTAAAGTCTTTAGAGCCATATATTCCTGTCGATAACTTCACATCTAAATGTATTCAAAATAGAAATGATCTGTCTTACTTACAGATGTCATGGTACTCTGTACTTGTCTTTAAAAAACGTGAAATATCCGATGGAAATATAATCTAAATGCATGAGTAAACAGTTAAACTCATATATATATATATATATACGATTCTGATGGGTATATAGTTACAGAATGAAAATGGTTACATGAAACAATTGTAATGTGCATGTAAATGTAGTAAAATGTGATTATGAAAAAAAGTTGAATAAAAAAAATAAAAATGATTTTTGTAGAGTAAATATGGTTGATAGTCCATTTTTTTTATTGTGGCCATCCCTGTGAAAATGCCTTTCATTATTCTTGCGAGTGCTTACTTTTTAACAACGAAAGACACATCCTGCTCCAAAATTGGAATGCCTTGCATATGTTGATTTTAATTTAGAACTAATTTTGTTTGGTAATAGCACGGACTAATTCCGTGGTAATAGTCAACTTTCGGTAGAAAACAATATAAACATTTTTAGAAATGATAACTTTTTTTTTTTTTTATGCGTGTACGTTGTTATATGTATTTATGAAATTGCATTTCATTATTTTGTCTGATTTCTTTGTTACATTGATTCTGTTCATTTTGAAATTACTCTACCAGGCTGCATGTCATGAAATTTATATAATTTATAATTTATTTAAATGCGGATCAATTTTACAGTGTACACGATTTCTTTTTCTAGGTAACCCCTCTCCCAACCTTTCTTCCCCAAAAACATATACATTTATTTTACCACATGTATTGTGGAGAGGACTTTATTAAGTTGTAATAACTTGTTGTCAAATCCATTTGTATATTTGTACAATAAAATATGATTGAACTAAAACGTATATACCCATAGGCCGAGGAGGCTAGCACCAAGCTTAAGGCTACGTATATATACCTGTCAATCATCCAGATATTGGGTGGTAGGTACAATGTAAATCTTGTACGCCGCTCCCGCTCCCGTTCCAGGATTTAACGCGATCGTTTATATATATTTTTTTTTATAAAATTATACAATAATTTCAAACATTATTTTCTAAATGTGGATTTTTAAAAAAAATAAATTATTTTCTAATAATTTAGAAATTGACGATAATATGTTTTTCAAGGGGGTAAAACTTGAACGCCGCAGTCAACAGTAAAGAACACGTTTTTCACATATAATTAGATATTGAGTGAAAACTAACATGTTATTTTCAGGTATTTAGAACAAAATACCTCACTGTTTATAAGTATATAAGTTTCGTTGCAATAAACGACATATTTCACATGGAATTCTGACTTTGTTGTGATCGCGGGAGTTTTGTTTACTCAGAATGAAACCAACTAGCGCTGCATCAGCACAAATTCATCGTACAGGCGAGGACCATTGGGCAGTGTCAGTACAGGAGGTAGATAGTGGGGAAGTATACATTCTTGATAGTTTGATAGGAAATACGAAACAGAAGGGTCATTTGTCAGCTTCTTTAGAAATGCAGATGCAGTTGTCATCATCATATGGGGAAAATAGTTTTTTTTAGAAACAGTATTACCAAATGTGCAACAACAGTGGCGGATCCAGAGGGATATTTTAGGCATTCTAATAGAATGGCTATAAGAGTTCTACTTGATAACGACAGCTTGACAGACTGATGTCCCCTTAGTACGGGTACGGGAGTAAACAAAACACCTGCGATCAAAGTCAGAATTTTGTGTGAAATATGTCGTTTATGTAGCAGTGTATCTGCTCTGGGATCGCTGTGTACTTAAGCACCACAGAAGACATCAGTTCGATTCCAAGATTTATTCTGGGTGTCGAATAAACCCTATAACAACAATATAACAGTACATTAAAACAAATTCTCAAACTTACACTACCTGAACGAGTTATGAACTCGTCCAAATCTAACACGACCGGTTAACGCACTCAGTACAAACACGCTTCACTATACAAGTACTACTAAAGTACAATACCGGATAACCCAGTCGCTATCATACATTACAGAGTCAACGCTCGTACGCTATGAATTACAATACATAATTCACTCTGTTAGTTAGTAATACAATATATATACATATCACGTTGTCGCATTGAAATTGACTCAATTACAGCACTTATGTTTATAAGAAATGCACAAAATTACAAATACTGTAAGTTACACTAAATACACAAATTTATACATTAAAGCAACAACCTACCTCTTCAAAAAGGGAAGAGGGCTTAAGGGACACAACCCGTGGATGACGGTATACCAGGCCACAGAACGAAACGTAGGATCTACAAATTATGTTAAATAATTAGCAAAGATAACAAAAGTTAACTTTCACCAGAATTTAGAAAACAATTATAATGAATGAAATATATCTCAACACACCTCTTCTGAATAATGTAAAAGATAAACGTGAACTCCAAACAACATGAAATTCAAATTACAAAAGATCGATTCACTCACAATTCAACAGAGAGCCTACTAAATATAATTCAACATCGATCTTTACCAGATGATACAATTACAATAATCCTAAAAGATACTTATTTACAATATAGTTAATGTACAACATGATCAGTACTTACATAATTTCCAAGTACAAAGGATGAAAATGGCCTCTCTCAATAAAACCCAACCATCATCATACAACGTCCACAGGTGTGTGAATTTACCGCGCGCCTTGCGCAATGCCCACTGGGCATTCAGATAAAAATAGATTCGCCCTTTGACATAGCAAAGAACCGGTTTATAATACATAATAAAATAAGACATACACTTGCGTCACAAAACACCGGACCGGAACTTGCACACTTCTATTAAAATACAATAAACGGTCTACAAAATTGTACCCTACTACATTTATTGCAACGAAACTTACATAATTATAAACAGTAGGGTATTTTGTTCTACATATCTGAAAATAACATGTTAGTTTTCACTCAATATCTAATTATATGTGAAAAACCGTGTTTTTCACGGTTGACTGCGGCGTACAAGTTTTACCCCCTTAAATTCACATTATCGTCGATTTCTAAATTATAAGTTAATAAATAGACATTTTTGTAACTGTCACATTTCGAAAATAACGTTTGAAATTATTGTATAATTTTATAAAAAAATATAAACGATCGCGTTAATGAGATATTAAAATATCTATATATTCCTGGTACGGGGTTTTGGGACGGGAGCGGGAGTGGCGTACAAGATTTACCTACCATCTCTGATAACACCCGGAACACGGCGGTTTACAATTGTATAAAAACAACTAGCTCGGTAGGTTTTCATCACAATTTGACAAAAAATCAAAATATTTTAAACTTATATCAGCAGGTGAAGTTTGCAGGTTTTCAGCAACGTCGTTAAACCGGGAAGTGCAGAGTGAGGAAGGCGAGCCTACTGATCATGAGCTACAGACGGGGTTGCCGCTACGTATGTACACAGACGATATATTGAGCCACCCATATTTCTACCCGGGTAGACAACTGAAACCGTCATGGCGCATGGAAGGCTGGGTCGATTTTAATATCATTCAACAATCTGGCCGGGTAGATCGTGAAGCAGTCAACTTTGGCTGAATTAATCATTTACTTGCAATTTACGTTTTGACAATTTTGTATGGCGACTAGCTAGGCAGCCTAATGGCAGAGACGTATATACATACGTCTCTATTAATTGTGAAAAGCGTTTTCTCTTCTCACGATATTTTTCAAATTCTCCAACACATTCACCAAGGCAGGACAAATTGAACCACTCCTGATTAAGTGAAGTTGGGGTATTTTTGAAGATTTAATTTCCCGATGTCGGACGAACTGCTTCACTGCTATAGTCGATAATCCTCGAAAGTGTTATACATTGTATCTCGTTACTAAAATGGCCACGCCCGAGTACAAAGGGCAGCTTCCTTCCCGTACCAAAGGTCAAACCACGTGTATGTACCACAAGGGTAGAAAACTGGACATTTACTGTGAAGAATGCCAAGAACTTGCATGTACCAAATGCCTGTCTACTGTACATAAGAAACATCCTTTGTGTGACCTTAGTGAAATTACTCCAAAAAAGAATCAAGACATTCAAAACTTCATCTACAAAACTGAGAAAGTTGACCTCGTACAAATTGACAAGTACATCACTGCTACTGATACACGTCTAAAGGACAATGTCAGCCACTTTGAAAATCTTTCCGAACAGTTGAAGATACAAACAAAGAAAATAATACAAGATCTTAACCAGCTTTCAGCTCAGACTCTGTGTCTCTATCAACAAATGGAGGAGGATAACACCAAGCTACTACAAACATACAAACACGATCTGGAAATGTACAGTACTCAGTTAAAACAACAAGTACAGGAATGTAAGATAGCACTTCAGCGTGGCTCTGACATACAAATCTACGACACAGGATTTGATATTCAATCTCCTGTCACTCTCCCCGTTAAACCTACCCTGGGTACTGCTAGCTTCACTCCGAACCGAAATCCTAAGGGTCACCTGAAACAAGCCTTGGGAAAAATGGACACTTCAAGTAAAGGTCAGCGTCAAGTCCCTTTTCGCCCCGATCATGTATTTTCTGGACCTGGTTATTCCTCTACACAGAGGTCGTCAGAACAAAAAGTTTGGAGACCAAGTTCACAACAGAGCTCAGGAGAAAGAAATGACGTGTCCAGTCCAGTGTATTCCCTGTTGCCTCAGACCAAGGTGTTGGGGGAGTGGGAGTATCCATCTGGCATCAGTTCTATATGTCCCACCACTGATGGTCAGGTGTGGTCCAGTGACTTTGACAGAAAAACCTTACCTCTCCTGGACAGGAAGGGGAAAGTTATACAGGAGGTTGAAAACAATACTGGGATCAAGGACATAAGTATGTCACCCACAACCAACACACTGTGGGTCTGTGATAATGAAAACAACATCAGAGAGCTTGTGTCAGGACGACTGGTACACAGATTCAGCACCAGGGAGTTCCCACTGTGTATCTGTATTACAGCTAATAACCATGTCATTTTGGGGATGGTCAACAAAATCTCAAAATTTACCACAAATGGTAAACTGGTACTTACTACATCACCTACAAGGACTTGGAAACCATTAGTGTGTACACCAAACAGGATCTCAGAGTGTCCTGTCACTCAGAATGTCGCAGTGGCTGACAGTGATAGTGAACATCATGGTGGTGAAGGACAATCACATGTTGTTGTCATGGACACTGACTGCAAGGAACTATTTGTATATTGCGGTGAATACAGACATACATATCAACCACCATCACAGTCAGGAAGTGAACCATTTAACCCCTCTGGTGTGGTGTATGACAGTGTGGGTAACCTAGTCATAGGGGACCGTAACAACAACCGTATCCTACTCATCAGTGGGCGTGGTGAGTTCCTCAAGATCATACACACAGATGACATCTTTACATCGGCTGTTGGTGTAGACAAGAAGGGTGTTCTGTGGGCAGCGTTTGGGATTTTCTATGTCAAACTACTACAGTATCTACATTGATATTTAACACCAGGACAAACTACAATGTGTGTATCTAATAACAATGACAACAAACACTGATGTTTTGATCGAAGATGTCATGATACTTGATAAACTTCAAAATAGAGGATCTTACATTCGTGTCCATGTCATATTGAGTTTATTAAAAGAGTTTAATAATTTGATATGAATCGAGCCTTTAGGCGAGTGTCATGTTGGATTTATTGAACAAATGCATATGGGGCTCAATGGGGGAATAAAGTGATACATGTTTATAACCCTTGACCTTCAGTACGATTGGAGGAATTTTAATTACATTTTGTGTGGAGCATCTATTAGCAAGGGGGACTTAACTTTGCATAAACAGAGGGTGTGACTCTCCCAGGGGGCAGAGGAGCGCGGCCCAAAAGAGAGAACAAAGCAATAAATGTGTAAAATCCTTCTCCTTCAATAGGATGGGAGGGATTTCAACGAACTGTTGCGTAGAGCATTCCTGGACAAAGGCCTAGGGGACTCTGTATCTATAAATCGAGGGTGCGTCACCTTCTACGTATATTTTTTTAGAAGGGCAGGGCCTTGTAGGGATCTTTAAAATCCTTCCTTTTCACAAATTGATTGATTGTTATCAAATTTCGTGTAAGGCATGTTTCGGCTAAGGGGACTTAATTTGTAACTGATAAGGTGTCACAATGAGAAACCAAAACCTAGTACAGTCTTACATCACCTAACAGTGCACCTGATTGAGTGACGTAGTATTAAATATAGGCAATCAATAACAAAACTGTTAGAAAAATTATTAATGGTGTCATTGTTTTTTTTTTAAATAAGCATCAAATTAAAAAAAAATTCTTAACGCAATGCTATTTTAAAAATTAACTCATTCACCCCTGAAATGTCATAATGAACCATTCACACTTTTGAATTGGAAGATTCCAAATGTGTCTTCAGGGGTGAATGAATTAAATAGAACAAAGTTGCTGGGATCATTGGATTTCTGTATTTATATAACAACAGGTATATCTTTCACAGAAATATAAATTTACAGCTACCTGTATGTTGGTAACGATTTAATATTTTGATCCAAGTGTTATTACTAATATAATAGTAGCAATGTCTGGCAGGTAGTACAGTAAATGCGATCCCCTGGGGCATTTCCTTGTATGATATATGTATCTAAATCTCCATGCTTAACATTTGTTTTGTAATAAGGGTGGGGATCTCAAACTGTTTCAATGTAGTATAAGGACCCAGGAATTAGGTCCCTAGGGATGTGATTAAAGCCCAGGGTCAATTTAATAACATGATTGTGTTTAAGTCTCTTTTATGTATGGTTATAGGGTGGGGATCCCAACTGTTTAAATTCTTTGACCCAGCAGTTGTAATAATATCCAGTTTGCCAGACTGCTGCACTCCTGGGATGGCCCTGTTTGCTTATGTCGTATCTGTACCTGTGTTTAAAGTTTTAATGTTTTTCAGTGTTTTAGTCTTTATTACTAGTTACCTTCTTTATTTATTTATTTATTTATTTATTTGTTTACTTATTTACCTATATATTTAGCCTAACTTCTGCATTGCATGGTGCTTTTATATACCAACAACTGACAGTATAGTTTCTAGCTCTCTCTTCTAATCATCATTATAGCTCAATATGTTTTTTTATTACTAGACCTTGTTGTCCTATTTTAATTTACACTATATTAGTGTATATTATGTCAATTTTTACTCTTTTGCTAAATTAGCTTGTTTGTACATTACACTTGAAGTGCTTTATAACCTTCATATTATATAGCAGCACCTGTGTGATATGCAGGTGTTCACTATTATATCATTACATCATTTTTAGTATAATACTTTAAATTTAGTGCCTATGCTATCTAATTATATGCTGCTATGTTGTTGTATGTTTTACCCCCTGATTATGTGCTAGCTTTCTGTGATAGTGTATAGCTTGATTTGTTGTTTTCTTTCTGTTTGCATTTTATCATGTTTGTCGCAAAAATAGCGCTACAGCGCTAATGTTTCTCTGTTTGATATATGCGACGTTAAATAAAGTTTCTTGTATCTTGTAGTTAAATCTCCATGGGTGGGGCCAGACCCTGAGGCAATCCTGGTAGAATATGTGTGTATTTGTCTCATTATACTCAACAATTGTATATGTACAATATAGGTAGTTGTTATAGGGTGGGGATCTTAATTATTTCCGAGCTAAAAACTCTTTCTAAAAACCCGACCCTCAGTCTAGGTTCAGCCCTTCAACGGGTAAAATTTTAAGACCCATCATGGCCACCTGCCAATGCCTCCAACCAAATATGATTGAAATCCATCTCTTGTTTCCAAAGAAGGAGTTTCTTAAAGCAATATGGCCAAATAACCCCTTTGTGGCCCATCCATTCAGCCCCACTTTATGTGAACAAAGATGTTTTGTGTAAAAAAATAATTTTGAAAGTAATTTTCAACATCAATAAAACATCTATGTTCATTTATAATTTCAGTGTAGTCTTTCACATTTGGTATAAAAGACGGGATAAATGTAATTTTATATTATATATTTACTGTATATATATATAACCATTCCTCAACTGATAGTCTTCATAGTAATTTAGTTTGAGAGCGTTATTTTTTTTTATTTCATCAAATAATGTTATTATACCAAGATTCCAAATTGTCTGTGTTTTTTTCAAAAGGGAAAATAGTTTTTAAAGACAATGATCCATTTTGAGGGTTTTCTGAAGGCCAGACAATACCTTTAATTACTACACTGATTTGTTGTATTTTTTTTATTTTTTTTTTCATTTTTTTACAAGAGCAAGATTTAAAGAGATCCAGTCATCTTTGAACCGGTGACATTTTCTTCTAATCAATAAACATATCTTCAAAAAAATGTCAAACTGAGATAAAACAGCAGTAAAGTAAGATGCGACATTGAGATTCAATAATGACATCACAACGTGTCATTACATGTCAGTCAATGTACCCCGAGTGTGAGCTAACAATTATAGTCGCATTAACTTACAGAACTTAATGAGGAAAAATATGTGATAATTTAATTTCTAATGACCTCATAAATCAACATACAAATTCCCTGATATTTGATGGCCAGATCACCATGGGATATTTTCAATATGGTAAAAATTAGTTTTTTCCCCAGAGGTATTTTGGAAATGATAATAAATCTATTATTTTTCATAGTTGAGTTTTTGGTTGTTTTGAAATTTGTTCATAATTCTAACAGTGTACATTATGATTATGTTGCTTATTTTGTATATATATTTTTTTAAAGAAGTAATATATTTTTCTCAAGTTATTATGACGTTAACTAAATTGTGATGTATATATATACACATTTATGATTAAATTAAGTATTTATGCTTTAAACTTTTGTTGATCGTTATTCAACATGTAAATAAATATTGAGTTTTTTTATGAAGATCCATCCCAACCAAGAAACTAAATGTACAGTACCTAAATTAAAGGGTGTGCTCTTTACACAGATTTGATTGTACCTATCTTACAAACCCTGTATGTCATGAGATTATTTGACTTATATCAGATGAGGGTGACTACAACAATCGGTGCAAAAAGATTTTCACCACATCATTTAAAGGAAAATACAGTCAAGGACAATGGGCAAAGGTTTTAACAACTGACACATCATTTAAAGGAAAATACAGTCAAGGACAATGGACAAAGGTTTTAACAACTGACACACATCATTTAAAGGAAAATACAGTCAAGGACAATGGACAAAGGTTTTAACAACTGACAATCTGTTTATTATGTAATTACCATACAATACAGTGTATAAGTAAAACAGTTTTACATACAAATGTACCCTCTAAGTTTCATTATACATCTATATGTGAAAATAAATTAAAAGTAACATCTTACAATTTTTCTACATCATATGACATTGATGAAACATGTCTAGATTTTTTTTGCTTCAAAAAAAACTAATTTCTGCAAATTTCATGACAAGTTTTATAAATCTCAATATGAAATGGAATCAAATTTACATAACTTTTATCATACCACAAAAGAATATGTTCAAGTATTAAAAAGAAAACATTCTTTTCTCAGGCAGATTCGTCAAGACTTTTCAATGTCACCATTTTGATTTTATGGTTTTCAAATGACAATGTGATAGTACGTCACAATGTCATGAAGTCATGTTGACTGCCATCAAAATCATTGTAATTATATGAGGTAATGCGCAAGAATATGAAATGGTTTTATTTGCTGCGAAATATGCATGGTAGAAATCAAATAAAGGTCTATCTAAATATAGATTAGCCAATATAGGTCTATCTCCATATAGCTTAGCCAATAAAGGTCTATCTACATATAGCTTAGCTAATAAAGGTCTATCTACATATAGATTAGCCAATAAAGGTCTATCTACATATAGATAAGGCAATATTTGACCCCTAAAATCCATCAAAATCTTAACACTTCGATTGAATTTTCAAATTGCTGGGTTTTTTTTTAATTTTCAGTCCTTCGGCTTCCAATTATGTATTATGAAAATGTAAGTGTTTCCAATTACAGTTGCTATGGTAATCACTTGAAACTTGTAACATTAGATACATTTGAGAATTTTTTGTCAATTTTTTGCATGGTTTCAGGATGGATCTTGGGTCCTAAAAATGGTCCGACCCATATATAGTGTTATAGACATAATTTACGGAGTATAAAATAATATTTTATGTTTATTATTTAAACGTGATAATTAGGTCAGTTTTCTATATTCATTATATTATTATCTCAAACAATGCCACTATTTAACTTTTGTCAATATGCCCGTCGTTAAAACACACCTTTTAATTCCAAAGACTACAAAAAAACAGAAACCAAATAAACAATTATTACCGGTAATAAAAAACATAATTGTTTACCAAGCTGTGAATATGCATAGCCACCACCCTGAGAACATTTTTCTCGTCACTAACAAGGTGACGGGTGACTAGGTGAAAGGGATGACATGGATATTCAATTAAACCTCTATAGAATGCCGCTTGTTTTAACTTCCATTTCGCCTACCACAGGTACTAGCCTCGTCTGTCAATACACCTATTATATTAAAGGTGTATTGGCAGGCGAGGCTAGTACCTGTGCACCTAATGCCAAGTTTTCACTGACATGGTTGAAACAGTTTTTTATGTGATTACAGAATATCACTTTGTTCTTAACTCTGCTATGTAATATTGTTGACATATCATATTTGAGACAAGCATGAACACATATCCTTTAACGGCAGGAGCCTGTATTTGCTGCTGCTGCTGCTGCTGCTGCTGACATACAATTGTACAATGATAAATAATGTTATCTTCATTTCTTGTTGAGACATAATTTGTAAAGTTGTACACATAGATATCCACAATATTCTCACATGAAAAATTTCCCTGAATGTTTCAATTCTTTCTGTTTTTCTGAACAATTAAACTGTAAACAATAAATTGACAATATATAAGTACATTTCAGTTATTATGAAATAGATAGATCTTATCTTTGTGTTAGAGTTATCTCCCTTAAGGATGTATACTACCTTACACATTATACCTGTGATTTGTGTTAGAGTTATCTCCCTTAAGGATTCATACTACCTAACACTGTATACCTGTGATTTGTGTTAGAATTATCTCCCTTAATGATACATACGACCTAACACATTCACTGTAATTTGTGTTAGAGTTATCTCCCTTAATGATACATACTACCCAACACATTCACTGTAATTTGTGTTAGAGTTATCTTCCTTAAGGTTATATGTTACTTGTAAAACCTATGATTTGTGCTTCACTTGTCTCTCTTAAACATTCTATTGAACATTCATTAGGTTGATTTAAAAGGTTTTAGTTTGGGAACTCTTTTGAAGTAGAGTTGCTTATCTAGGTAAGGTAACATACATCCTTAAACAATAAAGATGATATGTTATCCGACACAAATTTTAATGTTAAATTAACCAACAACAAAAAAGTTAAGTGGGAAAGGATAACCTTTTATCACTGCAATATTAAACAAATTCAATATTTTTATATTTTTCAAAACTGTACAACAATGTAAGTAAAATTGTGCAAGGTTATAATGTGATAATGTTAGAAAGCATTTAGGAAGTGGATCCCACATTTTGCAGGGGGAAAAAAATGTATTTCTTCACCTTTTGGGACCCCTGCTCTCACAAAATTCTAAATCCGTGCCTGATGTGCATTTCCATATATTGTACATTGTATGTTAACTTATTATTTTGCAAGTAGTTCGTTTTGTAATTGGTCACTTAACAATTTATGACACAAAATGACAACTAAAACAAACAACAACAACAGCAGCAGCAACAGCAACAACAACAGCAACAACAGCAACAACAACAACAGCAGCAACAACAGCATGCAGCGTGGTCCTTGTCTAATTGTCTCTGAATAAATATTAGCGAGATATTTCACCGATCAGTTCTCAGACTTTTTCAAGTATCCCTAACATTGTAGATAAACTCATTCACCCCTGAAGACACATTTGAACTCTTCCAATTCAAAGGTTGGATTAGTTCATTATGCAATTTCAGGGGTGAATGGGTTAAAACATCTGAATAATATCAGAATCTTGGTGGTTAATCTTGAACTGATCCAACATGGCGTCCACCTCGAAAGGCCACCAGAACACAATGCAATAAATTATCATGAAATGTCTGGAGAACACTTGAGTTATCAAAACTATCTGTCAACTATTTATATAATTTACTTATATACAAATTCAATAGCAATAACCAAATCAATTACACAAAGTGAAAGAGATACATACATCTGGACCCAAGATTTTCAAACATTATTTTGGTAAAGTTTGTATTTTAAATGTCAATAAATAAAATGTTTCTCTTGGAAATTATTGTAAATTTGGTAAAAAATAATCCTATTGACAATATATAAATAATCACATGTTGACATGGAAACCAACTACAGTTTCATCAAACTTTAAAATTTGGACTTTTAGTTATTTCTGGTAGTACATGTCCAAGATGAACAAAATTAATATAAAATAAACAATGGGAAATAAATGATATATTGAATTAAATACTTTCCTAAAACAATGAGTTTATAAAAAATTAAAATATAAATTAACAATAACAATATAACTAAGAAACAATGATAAATATATTCTAAAGAAAAATTGTGTTCTATAAAATCTTATCATCAATATAGCAACAATTCTATGCACGAAGATATGACCAGTCTAAACCAGCCAGTCAATCTTCTAAGAGACGAAATTAATATACAGTCATTTAAGGACATGCCAGGTTTAAACCTGAGTACCCACAGAAAACCACAGACCTGCCGCCAGTACCTGGTGACTGCCCCAAATAGGCCTCGTACCTGCGACCAAGTAGTGGCGGGCTAGAGATTGTAGATGGTCAGACGCCTTAACCTGGTGACTGCCATACGTAGGCCTCATACCCATCACCTAACCCTTACCACTTGGCCACTGAGAAACAGTAAAATGTCAACTGTATATAAAAACCTCCCTAGGGATAAAAAAGATGTCTAGAGGGTCATTTTTTTGGTTCGGTTTGTTTGATTTTTTATGTCCTATTAACAGCTATGATCATTTAAGGATGTGCCAGGTTTTGGTGGTGGAGGAAAGCCGGAGTTCCCAGAGAAAAACCAACGACTTCCCGCCAATACCTGGCAACTGCCCCATGTAGGCCTTGAACCCTGACCCAGAGGTGAAGGGCTAGTGGTAGCTGAATGTCAGACGCCTTAACCACTTGGCCATCTTAGCGCCCTTTCTAGAGGGTCAACTCAAGGGAGAAAGCAACATCGCTTCATAAAGACTTATCTAAGGAGAGAGCCAACTTGTATGTAAAGAAGCAAAAAACTTATGTACTAAGACTCCAAGGCAGAGACCCAAATCTGCTATTTAAATACCAACCAAGAAATGGACCAAAAACCTCTTTCCTATGGAGAAAACAAAAAAAACCTGCCTATAAAGACTTCTTACCCCTCCTAGAAAGAGAGCAAAAACCTGTCTATAAAACCCCCTTCCCTCCAGAGAGAACAAAAATCTGTCTATAAAAACCCCTTCCCTCCAGAGAGAACAAAAACCTGTCTATCAAAAAAAAATCCCTCAGAAGAGAGCAAAAACCTGTCTATAAAGACCCCCTCTCCTAGGGAGATAACGAAAACCTGTCTATAAAACCCACTTTCCACCAGAGAGAACAAAAACCTGTCTATAAAAAACCCTTCCCTCCAAATAGAACAAAAACCTGTCTATCAAAAAAACTTCCCTCAGAAGAGAGCAAAAACCTGTCTATAAAGACCCCTTCTCCTAGGGAGATAACGAAAACCTGTCTATAAAAAACTTCCCCTTGGAAGAGGACAAAAACCTGTCTATTTAAAAAGAAACTTCCCTCGGGAGATGACCAAAAATCTTTCTATAAAGAACCCTCCCCTAAGAAGAGAACAAAAGCCTGTCTATAAAGGCCCCCTTCAAATGGGGAGATAACAAAAACCTGTCTATAAAGACCCCCTCACAATAGGGAGATAACAAAAACCTGTCTATAAAAAAAAACACTCTGAAGATGACAAAAACCTGTCTATAAAGAACCCTCACCCCTAGGAGGAGAACACAAACTTGTCTATAAAGAACCCTCATCCCTAGGCAAATAACAAAAACCTGACTATTAAGACCCCCTTTGGGGCCCCATGCAGATAACAAAAACATGTCTATAAAGAACCCTCACCCCTAGGAGGAGTACAAAAACCTGTCTATCAAGACCCCCTCTCCTAGGGAGATAATAAAAACCTGTTTAGACCCCTTCCCAATAGGGCGATAATAAAAACCTGACTTTAAAGACCCCCCTCCCAATGCAGAAAACAAAACCCTGTCTAAAAAGAACCCCTCCACATAGAAAGAGTACAAAAACCTGACTATAAAGAACCCTCAACCCCTAGGAGGCATACAAAAACCTGACTATATAGACCCCCACTCCAGGCAGATAACAAAAACCTGTCTATAAAGCACCCCTCTCCTAGGAGGAGTACAAAAACCTGTCTATAAAGAACCATCACCCCTAAGAGTACAAAACCTGTCTATAAAGAACCCTCACACCTAGGACGATAACAAAAACCTATAAAGACCTCCTTCCCTAGGAGAATTACAACTTGTCTATAAAGACTCACCATAGGCAAATAACAAAAACTTGACTATAAGGAACCCACACACCTAGGAGGAGTACAAAAGCCTGTCTATAAACTTCCTCCTTTAGGTAAAGAACAAAAACCTGCCTATAAAGAACAACCCACAGAAGAGAACAGATGTAGAAGCAGTACAAGGTGAAATACTCCTACTTCTGGTTAACAGAGTATCACACTCAACTCCAAATCACTTCTCGTATGTCATTAGGGATTTCAACGATTTAAAAAATATTTTTAATATTACCTGTACAAAATTTGAGTTAATGACCTTTTAAGCTAACAACGCTTCCACTATCCGGGCCTACTTTGTTATAGAAGTAGTAGTAAAATAGTAGTGTCAACATATTGAATTCTGAATCAAACTTGAATATACAGGGATCCAAACATTTATCAATAGAAAAAATATTTGCAAATTTAAAAATCATAATTTTTAATTTAAATTTACAATGTATGTTAATGATTTGTTAAGCTATCCCAGGTAACAACAACTGACTCAATATATTTAAATTGAGAAATGTTGAAAGATTGTGTAAATATAGTGTATCAAAATGAACAATTAAAGCTGAAAAGGCATGCATAATGAAATAATTTGTAATTATTTATACATGATATCTTTAAAAAAAAAAAAGTTACCAAGAAAAATTATATAAAGCTTACAATGAACAAGTGTGATGTCTGGTTAACTTCCATAGTTACAATGGTTTGAGCAATTATGTAATAGTTTATGTAATTACAATTATGTAATAAATACATTATGTCAAAATGTAATAAATGATTATGATTCATTTTTTATTGAAATGCTAAAAAAGAATCACATGAAACCTGTCAAATCTAACACAACATATTAATCTATCAAATCTAATACCCTGTTCGACACAACATATTGGTCAGATTGACCTGTCTAATCTGACACCCTGTGGACCACAGCATACTGGTCAGATTAACCTGTCTAATCTGACACTCTGAGACACAACATATCGGTCAGATTGTTCTGTCTAATCTGACACCCTGTTAGACAGAACATATAGATCAGATTAACCTGTCTAATATGACACCTTTACAGAAACAGAATTATTCTAAAATATACAGGATGAGAGGTCAGATTAGACAGGTGCCATTGGCCAGGTGTTGAAAAGTTTTCAAATGACTCTTATTATCTAAAAATTTCCTGAAAATTTGATGGTCAAAAACTCGAGCATCAAAGCTCATTATTGGACTCTGACTAAAGTAGGTTTTTCTGTAATCAAGGATTTAATTAAATAATATAAGCAGTTAAAACATGTTATAGCTAACTAAACACAGCAGTGCTTTGGTCAATTAAATGTGATGCTGTCTGGACTGTATCCTAGATTTTCGCGAAGGAGTTGCTGCTCACTGCGGCCAAATCCTATTGATTCTAGGTAGTTTTCCACCGATCCATACCTGTCAAAATGTATCATGATTCATAAACATCTGTAAAATAAGATTTTCTCGATAAAACAGGCTTTCCAATTTCATATGATAAGTTATAATCACAAAAAAGAGTCCCAATTCAAGGCTAGTTCTTTTTCACTTCATAAAGCAACCTTAAGGAGATTAAGAGGCATGGAGTTACTTCCCTTTGCAATCATACTTTAATACATTTGTTATTTTGTTTCCATGCATTACAAATGTTGTCTCTAGAAATTTGGGATTTTTTCATTTAAGAAACACTTTGGTGTAAATAACACCTTTTACATGTAGAAAATCATCCATCTTTTTTTTTTCTTTTTTTTTTTGAAAAGTGGAGAGGTTCTACAGGGGGATTAGATTGGGGAGGGAGGGTCAAGAAGTTGGGATGAGAGAGGGGAACTTTCACTTTCGTTTTGCATCTTCTTTCAATGTTCTATGAAACAACTACCTTGATTAGGTCAGAACTTATTCAAGCCACATTGCTACTTTTGGGTTCAAGATTGAATTTATTTTTATGAATGACTGGGAATTTAAAGTCCATTTTGGGAATATAAATGCCAATTTTGAATTGAGAATGGGGTTATTATCCACCTATGTTTACACAGGCAGAAAGAAAAAGACACTGATAACAACTCAGGATTTGCAACATTGTTAGAGTGTAGGATCTGGAGATGATAGACATATCCCAAGTTATCTCCCTTGAATTTCTGTTTTTTTTTACTTTTTTGAAATATTCAGGTTTTGCTTGATTGTTCATTTGTAGAAAATGGCCGACACAAGGACTTCATAAAAACTTATGGCAAAACTTTATCTATTTCCATAGTAAATGCTAGAGTTTATCAACATTACATTACTCTGACCACGGAATTAGATTAGTTATCTAAGTCTGTGGTTAAAGTCACTGATCCACCATGTTGTATTGAAGTGGGTATCACATGATCTTGACATGTCACATGATTACCGCGTGACGTTCAGTACACATGTGTCATACCAATCTACATAAACCGCAGAACAGAATTTTACTGAGAATTTGAGAAAAGAGTGTTTATTTTTAAAATAACATAGAATATTTACTTTCAAAGTTTGGAAGAAAATGAAATATCTCCATGCTCCAGGGATAACTAAATACAAATAAGCATATTAAACACGCGAGTAAGCGCATAACTATATCCACCATGTTGTATTGAAGTAGGTATCACATGATCTTGACATGTCACGTGATTACCGCGTGACGTTTAGTACAAAATGTGTCATACCAATCTACGTAAACCCAGGGATGTGCATGTCCACTACACATCCCTGGTAAACCGCAGAACAGAATTTAATTACTGACAATTGATTTTTTAAATAACATAGAATATTTACTTTCAAAGTTAGGAAGAAAATGATAAATATCGCCATGCTCCAGGGATAACTAAATACAAATAAGCATATTAAACACGCAAGTAAGCGCTCAACTCCTGGAGCGTTGGAGAGGAGGAGGTTAACTCAAACTGTTTAAACTGGACTCAAATTTCAGGCATTATGCGACTTTTTTTCTACAATTAAAACTTTCAATAATTCATAATTAGAGCTCTCTGTCAGAAAATCAATTAAAAGGTACATTTTACATGTTATCTAAGTCCGTGCTCTGACAGGTTAGTATTCCTGATCAGTTTGAAAAATGATATTGGTTGCCGGCATCCTAGGATGCCAGTATTGAAAATCTTCCTCTACTTTTTTGTTTAATGTGGGAGATTTTAGTTTTAGGGTGATAACATAAATCGACATAAAATCGTTTCTAAGGACTAAATTAAAAAAATATTACCAAGCTGTCGTTAAACTCAATGGTTAATTAGTTTGAATTTAATTTATGTTTGTGGCCCTATTATAATCAGTCTACTGAAAAAGATTTTTTTAAAAAACAATAATTTAAGGGCATGAAAATATCCTAATTTAAAAGTAATACAATTTTTCTTCTATAATTGAACAATATATGGTATGTCACCTATCTATATAAAACGATGTTGTTATTGACATCCTCGATACTCCAGGGATTACCCTCACTTAATTAACCCCTCTGCACCCCTGAAATATGTCATGACAAAAAATGAAGGTTTCAGACAAAAAAAACCTGGCCAAGTACCTGGTCTTAGAAGATAACAGAGGCGTGACACCGTTACCTTTCCTCTTGATTATTTTAATGTACTGTAGATCAAAGGATTACACTATTCTATTTATATCGTCTGTGAAGTGGCGCAAACGAAGCCTCTGATTTTTCAGGACATATTCCAAGAGTGTGGAATAGGTGAATTTTGATATCAGCAGTAATAACAATTATTATGGAAAAAAATTATATTGTTTTGTTACATCCCTACAGCTACAGTTTACAAAATTTGACAAAAATCATTTTCAATTTAAGATTTAAAGTTGTGATTAGAATATCTGTTTAACTTACTTGTGATGGATGTGGTTAAGAGCCGTCTCTAAAGTCTCTGGCTTGGCGTACATAAACGACTCATCCCAGTTGAATCTCTTGACTATTTCATCATGAAGTCTTGATTTTATCGGCTCCAGCGCTTTCTGTGAAATTCATACACAATGAAACAATGTCTATAAAAGTATAATATATTATGTATCAATTCATTTCTTCAAAAAAGTATTATGAAACACAACTTTTCCAGCAGCTGTACCAAGACAACAATGCTGTCTCCCCTACACTGTTTAAGGAAGTTGTTGAGCCCCTCAAACCTCATCCTCGATGCTTCAGGGGTTATGCTTACTTACGCTGACTCTGCACCCCTGGAATATGTCATAGCAAAATCAAAGGCTCAGTGTGCGCCACCTTGTGGATGAGACAGGAAGACTAGTTTGATCCTCTAATGCACATAAAATAATCTTGTGGTCATGTAACAGTACATTTACTGGCTTTGAAGTCAGGTATCATTCCTTTATAATCTTCAAAGGACAGGTATCAGTCTGGTGATTGGTCAGGTTTTTTCACTGAGACCAATCAAATACCTAGCCATGTGCCTTCAATGTTGCTATGACATTTTCCAGGGTGCAGAAAGCGAAAGAGAGCATAATCCCTGCAGAATCGAGGATGCTCAAATCCTACAGAATTCCCTCTCCTTCGCATGCTATGACATCAATGACTGCCACACTGATGATGCTTTCATACCTCAACCCAGTCAACCAGCAAATGACCAGCACAGACAAATTCAAATTTCATTTATATAGAAGTACAGGTTATATGTCCAAATTGCAAATATCATCATTGAAAATATTCAAAAATCACCTTTCTATATACATGTATGGTATAGAAATAAATCTTATAAAGAAGAAACTATGGAATATTAAAAATAAAATTATGATACTTTTGTAGCGGAATTGGACTGGGTTAGTAGCCAGCAATCAGGAACCTTGTACCTGATTAGAGTACAGGGAAACCATAGATAAACATAAATGTGTACATGAGTTAACCCTTCACTAGGGAATAGTTTTAGGGAAGTTTCCTCGCAAAGGGGGTNCTTGCGAGGAAACTTCCCCAAAACTATTCCCTAGTGCTTCCACCCCTATGCAACTTAATAGACTCTACCATGCAATGACATGGATGAGTCCATTATGGTATACAGTGGTGAAAGGGTTAAAGTGTGGATATGAAACGGGTGGTCAAGAAGCAACAAATGCTTACAACAGACAGACCTTTACAAAAAGGTGAGAGGAATGTAGGGGAACTAGACTTGGTCAGTTGCCTGCTACCAGGCAGTTCAATTGGTTGTCATGAAGAGATCAGAGGTTACAGGTTCAAACCTCGTTCTGACAATAAATTTTTCCTTTTCTGTTATACTTTAATCGACATCTGGGTTCAATATTCATAACATAACATTTATTGAAAGTCAGGTGAACACAACTTCAAACTTTTCACCCCAAGGTCAAGGTCATGGTACTCTATTAAAATTATCAGCAGTTTAACATCAACTTACAGGGGTTGACACTAACTTTTAATAGGTGGTGGACCACAGGTCCACCTGCTCTCTTAATCTGNACAACACTGGGATCCTAAACTCAGGGATTCAACCAACATCGTCTGTAACACTTAAAGATTTAAAACATTCGTATTCAAAACACACTAGGCCTCTACAATAACTAGAAAATACTTAAGGCATCAATCAGTGCCTACTAAAACACTTGAATTCAAACAGGATTTTGAGTCTGCTCCTATATCAATGTAATGGGAGAAAGAGAAAAATTGTGACAACCAGACCTTGGTTTGAACCCGGGACCCTCCTAACTCTAGACGGTCCCAATTGAGCACCTGGTCGCCAACGATTGAGCCAGTCCAGTTCCGCTACATTCCTTCCCCTTTTTCTAAGACTTCGCCCCCAAAGACACAACTATTTACAACCCAAGTTTGGGTACCCCCTTGCTAATAAGCATACTCCCATTGCTCGAAACAAGGATTGGCAAGCTGACCATTTTTGTAACAGGAGAAAGAGAAAATATTATGACCAGACCAGGGTCCCTCCGAACTCTAGCGGACACACTACCACTTGAGCAACCTTTTCACCGATAATCGTCCAGTCCACTACATTGATAGCAGTGTTGTAGAAATGACAATGAATTTCGCAAATTAAGTTCTTTGAAATTATGTGTTTACAATAGATTAATTATGATATACACTAGGTCTTTTGACTAATAATGAAAAAGGGTGGAAAGCTAGGGTAAGCTGCATTTTAAAATTTAGCACTTGAGGTAAATGTAAAATACCCTCACTCCAAGTCGAAAGTTCATACATAAAACTAGCCAGGATGTACTTCAGAAAGGTCAAGGTCATAGGTCAAATTGAGGTCACATTGACCTCATTTTAAGATTTGACACAGTGCTTTTCCTTGATGTACAGATGAAAAAGTGGCTAAGGTATGCTAAGGACACCTGTATTATGCTGTCCGGTTTTAGTAAATGAGGTCATTACTAGCTCAAAAAGCGGCCAAAGTGACCTCATTTTAGGATGTGCCACACAGCTTTCCCATGATGTACATATGTACAAAGTTCCAGCCTGTTCCTGAAATGATGTCAGAAATGCCTTAGCTCCAAAAACCGCTGTCAGACAGATGCATGCATGGATAAAGTGAATTCATTATGCCCCCAACTTTGGTCGAAGTTGAGGTACCAAAAACGGTAAGATCACAACAACTCAACCGATACCAAACAAGGGATTTATATACACAAGGCTTCCATAAACACCTGTCTAAACACTCAGCACCAAAAAGTGTTTAATGGGACAATGAAGTAAATGGCAGTTCTGGGTTAAATGGTGGAGGACCTTATTCTGAATTCCTGAGATTGCCTTCTATGGCAACCCCAGGAATTAAGAATAAGATCCTCTACAATTTAACCCACATCTACTTGTACAACTGTATTAAATCTGTGATACCAGTGTTTTAGTGGGTAGCTGGGTCTATTAAATACCTCTGATTGTGTGTAATCTTGAATTACATTTTCTGTCGTTTCGCCGAGTAACAGGAGGACCAACGCTGACGTGATTCCAGTACGATCTTTTCCATGAGCACAGTTAATGAGAGCTGGAAGGTTTTCCTTCTTTGTCAGAAGCTTCAGAGCTGGCAATTTAATAGAAAATATTGTACATGTAATGTATGATGTAGTTGACTAGTTGTTCAATGATTATCTTAACGCCCCTGGACTTCCTCGCTACGCAAGGGGTTGGTTACGCTCACTCTGGGCTCAGTGTCAGGTTAAACAGCCAAATAAATCACCCCTCGGATTGAAGATTTCTCTGTGACACCCTCTCATGCTGCTGGGACTGCATGCCAATCTAATTTACTGACACAATTAACAGGGGTTTAATTATGACCAGGGTGTTTGAGGGAAACAGGCCCTCGGAAGAAATTAGGAAAATCATCAACATAATAGCTAGTTTGGGAAATGTGGATGATCAACTCTGAACACAAATTAGACTGTTCAACTTTTATTTAAGCCTGTATTTATGACAACATGATCATTACTGCAGTCCTTCCTACAAACGCTGCATTTTGAGAACTAAATCAATCGAGAGGACTTTGATTAAATTTAACCATTTTTTGTTTTAGATTTCCCAATTGGGAATTTTGATGGGCTAAATTGGGAAACATCAGACACTTTTAACTTGGAGAATGGATCCTTTGAACAAAACTAAAAAAAACAACTGATAAACACCCGCAATACTCTTTTCAGTACCCACCCACTCTTCTCCATCACCTGTCCCTATATCATTCTCTCATACTTTACCTGCACAAATACTTGTCTGGCTCAGTTCCAGAATATCGATGTAAGTGCTTGCTAGTCCTCCTGGGTTCAACACAAAATATCCAAACAATCGCACCAAGTAGTAGAAGTTTGTCCGAAATAACACGTCAAAAAGAAAAACAAAGATTGATAAGATTTTCACATACCAAGGCGCCCTGTTAACAATGTTTTTTATGTAAGCCTTCTGAAAGAAATCTATCAGATAATGGTGACATGTTGCGTCGGACACTTCCTCTCCTGTGTTGTGGTCCTTTTCTGTGCACGAAACTTCTTCCCCGGGCTTGTAATTTCGGTTTTTAGGTAAGTTAATTACACATGTCCCGTAAAGACCTTTTGTTTGTAAGTACTTATTTCCTTCTACAAACGAAAACTCAGCATGCGAACGAAGGTCGATTATACATTTTATGCCCAAACCCATGAACTCATCCACTTCGTCAGCGTGAAGCAAGTCTGGTCGAGACGATCGAAACAACAGCTTTTTAGTAGTAATTCCATTCTTTGATTCAACTTGTCGAAAATTGTACAGAGATTGGATTCCTGGAAAGTCAGAATGTTTCTGATACTTTGTAGGCGTAACCCCGTTAGATAATGTAGCGGTGGCCATTTTAAAAAAACACCAACACTTCCGGCTAAAATGAAAGTAGAAAATTATTCGGAATCTTTTTGACTTATTATGGAATAAGAGAATTTCGAATGTTACACAGGTGCGATGTATACTTCCGGTGAAAGCATAGTGACAGTTTTGACAGCAGGTGGGATCCACAATGGCGGAACGTCATTAATCGGTCATTTATCACCTTTGACAACCTGATACTGAGATCCTTCACAGTAATTAACACCTTCAACAGGTGTCTGCGGACAGTACCTGATCGACAAATATGACGGACCAAACAGATTCAGATGCATCCGACTCGGTCGAGGACGTCATTGAGATACGTCCTATGCCAAGACGAAATGTTGTTGAATTACAAGATATTGAGTCTGAAAACGAACAGTCGACATTTCGTGCATCCAATCAACCGGACTTGATGCAGCATACTGGTGTTTTCCGTAGGACGGGAAGACTGAAGGTATTGTACGGCGGTGTACTCAGTACTGTCAATCATAGCCCGAGTTTCCTCTGGCCCTGACCCAGGCTTAGATATTTTGACAGATAGATATCTGGTGTGGGACATCTATCTGTCAAAATGTCTAAGTCTGGTGTATCATGTCAGGGCAAGAGGAAACTCGGGCTACTAAGTCTGGTGTCAGGGCCAGAGGAAACACGGGCTACTAAGTCTGGTGTCAGGGCCAGAGGAAACACGGGCTACTAAGTCTGGTGTCAGGGCCAGAGGAAACTCTGGCTACTAAGTCTAGTGTCAGGGCCAGAGGAAACTCTGGCTACTAAGTCTAGTGTCAGGGCCAGAGGAAACTCTGGCTACTAAGTCTGGTGTCAGGGCCAGAGTAAACTCTGGCTACTAAGTCTGGTGTCAGGGCCAGAGTCGGGCTACTTAGTCTAGTGTCAGGGCCAGAGGAAACTCTGGCTACTAAGTCTGGTGTCAGGGCCAGAGTCGGGCTACTTAGTCTAGTGTCAGGGCCAGAGGACACTCGGGCTACTAAGTCTGGTGGCAGGGCCAGAGGAAACTCGGGCTACTAAGTCTGGTGTCAGGGCAAGAGAAGACTCAGGCTACTGAGTCTGGTGTCAGGGCCAGAGGAAACACAGGCTACTAAGTCTGGTGTCAGGGCCAGAGGAAACACGGGCTACTAAGTCTGGTGTCAGGGCCAGAGGAAACTCTGGCTACTAAGTCTAGTGTCAGGGCCAGAGGAAACTCGGGCTACTAAGTCTGGTGTCAGGGCCAGAGGAAACACAGGCTGCTCAGTCTAGTGTCAAGGCCAGAGGAAACTCTGGCTACTAAGTATAGTGTCAGGGCCAGAGGAAACACGGGCTACTAAGTCTAGTGTCAGGGCCAGAGGAGACTCAGGCTACTAAGTCTGGTGTCAGGGCCAGAGGAAACTCTGGCTACTAAGTCTTGTGTCAGGGCCAGAGGAAACACAGGCTACTAAGTCTAGTGTCAAGGCCAGAGGAAACTCGGGCTACTAAGTCTGGTGTCAGGGCCAGAGGAACCTCTGGCTACTAAGTCTTGTGTCAGGGCCAGAGGAAACACAGGCTACTAAGTCTAGTGTCAAGGCCAGAGGAAACTCGGGCTACTAAGTCTGGTGTCAGGGCCAGAGTCGGGCTACTTAGTCTAGTGTCAGGGCCAGGGGAAACTCTGGCTACTAAGTCTGGTGTCAGGGCCAGAGGAAACACAGGCTACTAAGTCTAGTGTCAAGGCCAGAGGAAACTCGGGCTACTAAGTCTGGTGTCAGGGCAAGAGCAAACTCGGGCTATATCTAACAATATACAATTATTGTATATGATATAAATAAGTCATATTTAAATACCTCAAATAAAAAACGGAACATATTTACATGTAATTTGAATATATGGAACTGAATGCTACAATATGACATTATCTAAAGTTCATTGATGTACCTACAAATGTATATGTAGCCCGAGTCTCCTCTGGCCCTAACACCAGACTTAGTAGCCTGAGTCTCCTCTGGCTCTAACATCAGACTTAGACATTTTGACAGATAGATGTGTGGTTAGCCTGAGTCTCCTCTGGCCCTAACACCAGACTAAGACATTTTGACAGATAGATGTGTGGTTAGCCCGAGTCTCCTCTGGCCCTGACACAAGACTAAGATATTTTGACAGATAGATGTGTGGTTAGCCCGAGTCTCCTCTGGCCCTGACACCAGACTTAGTATCCTGAGTCTCCTCTGGCCCTGACACAAGACTAAGACATTTTGAAAACTCAGGCTACTAAGTCTGGTGTCAGGGCAAGAGGAAACTGGCTACTAAGTCTGGTGTCATGGCCAGAGGAAACTCGGGCCACTAAGTTTGATGTCAGGGCCAGAGGAAACTCGGACTACTATTTAAAGTCTGGTGTCAGGGCCAGAGAAAACTTGGGCTACTTAGTCTAGTGTCAGGGCCAGAGTCGGGCTACTTAGTCTAGTGTCAGGGCCAGAAGAAACTCTGGCTACTAAGTCTGGTGTCAGGGCCAGAGTCGGGCTACTTAGTCTAGGGCAGGGCCAGACAAAACTCTGGCTACTAAGTCTGGTGTCAGGGCCAGAGGAAACTCGGGCTACTAAGTCTGGTGTCAGGGCCAGAGGAAACTCGGGCTACTATTCAAAGTCTGGTGTCAGGGCCAGAGGAAACTCAGGCTACTATTTAAAGTCTGATGTCAGGGCTAGAGGAAACTTGGGAGGCCAGAGGAAACACGGGCTACTAAGTCTGGTGCCTGGGCCAGTGGAAACATTCATAGTTCCTTATGTGTTTCCGAAATTTTAAAATTGCACAATATTACAAATGAGCTCTAATTTTGGTCCAAATAATTTGATGTTTCGTTTCTGTTCTGTATCAACTTTGACATTTCTCCAGCTGCACACATGTTTGATTTAGATTTTATTTTACTCACAAGTGTATAACACAAATATAGATGAGAGATGATTTCACTGAGGTCTATCCCAAATGAAACAAAACTTATACAGCTACTTTGAGTGCACAAAGTTCAAACACTCAACCTCTCGACCTCCATTAGAACTGGAGTGTTTGGCACCAGTTAAAGTTAATTGCACTGTACACTATAATGTGTATCAATGTGTTTGGTGAAGGAACTACTGCTAAACAAAACAATAAGTGTGTTTCCTTTAACATGTTTGATAATTTTGGTAACTATTTCAAAAAATAATTTTGAGGTTTTTAAAGGAAAGAGATCTTCCTTGAAAATTGCTTAAAAAGGATATGCTAGGTATACAAATTTAGAGTAGGAAGGGCTACTGGAAACACAAAATATATTTTGTTTGATAGAAATCGTGATGCACCAAATATTTTTTTTAATAAATGAACTATGGTTGTTTCTTTATCTCCCGCTTTTACCGAAACGGGTGATATTAATTTGGGATTGTCTGTCTGTCTGTCTGTCACGCTTCGTTTCCGTGCAATAACTACAACAAATGTTAACTGATTTTCTTGGTCACAGGGTAAAATGCCTTAAGGGCTCGGCCAAGTCAGATGACCATTTTCAGTGGACTTTATTTGAAAGAGTTATGGCCCCTTGAATAACGAAAAACATTATTATCTGCCGTTTCTGTTCATTAACTCTCGCAAATATTATCCGATTGTCATCAAACTTTTTAACAGGGTTCAACGCCTTAAGGGCTCAGCCAACAACTTGAATCGGACTCCATTTGTCTCAACAGCACGATACTCACATGTTTAAACCTAACCCCAATAATGTTTACCTACAATATGTCCTGCAAGTGGGGGATATAAATTCCATGAATTTGCTTGTTTCATTTGTTATGGATACATATCAGTTGTCCATAAAAACTCATTTGATTATACTACAAAATTACCCTAGATTTTTATCATTATTGGCTGTAGACTGCAGACTATATTTCTAAAGAATTAATTTGGTGTTGAATTTGTATTGTTGAGTATGAAATGTAATCAAAATGTTTACTTATTGGTATTTTGATTGTTTGTTTATACTCTGCTGTGTTTATATCATTGATATAGTCTGTACAATTACTGTTTTTTAAATAAGCTCTTGTAACATTTTTATTTATAGTCACAAGAATTGCCAGTTTCTACTCCCAGACTGTATCGGGATCCCGACCAAGACCTACAGTTTCCGCCGGTAATTCCTCTCAACGTCGGTGGCGTCAAATACGTCACTCGTCTGTCTACGCTCTGTAAATACCCAGACTCGATGCTTGCCGCTCTTTTCAGCGGTCGCCATGCTGTTGACAAGGACCAGAACGGTAACTACTTTCTAGACAGTAACGGTTCCATGTTTGGATATATTCTGGAGTTTCTCCGTAACGGCTCGGCTCCTCCTAACCATGTGTCTGTGGCAGTTTATAAAGAGGCTAATTATTACGGCATTCAACATCTCATAGAGAAACTTCAGCTCAAGCCAGAAGTAGCCAGACTCCTTGTTCGGGAGGCTCACAGACAACAGTTTCCAAACTACTATGAGGTTAAGAACAACGTCATTCAACTTGCTGTAGACCACGCCATTGTTAACAGACAAGGGGAGGTAATTCTGTATGTATTTCGTACAGAATTTGTACCCAAGGTGCCAAATTTTAATCTTAGTCATGGCTGTGTTGTAGAAAATGCTCATTTGTCTGTCGGACCTTGGTCAGCCGCAGTCGATGAAGAACTATTCATGAAATGCTTGGAAACTGATTTGATAGAAGAAGGGTTTAATCTCAAACCACATGAATCAAAAAAGAAATGCCGATATTTTCATGGACAAACATGTCAGAAGTTTGTTTACCGACTACAAATAATGTTTTAGAAAAACAAAAAACAGTTTTTCCATCAAATTAAATTAAAAGTTTTCCCAGAAATTATGATTTAGTTTAGGGTAGAGAAGTTTTTTACATATAAACCACTTGTATTGTACATGAAACATGACCAATCAGGATTATGAGTGTCTTTATTACTCCAGGGCTTATGTTTACTAACCGGGTATGTGTGTAAATAAGCTAGTGCACATCCCATGGAGTATCAAGGATGGAAGATGAGTTGTTCAAAAATCACAATGAGGATTCTCATACTAGAATATTTGATGTCTCGCCTATTTTAAATATAAAGGTTACACCCCTGTGCTATTGTTTCGTGAAATTAGTTTTTCGTTTTGGAAAATTCTGTTTTCTTTAACATTAGTTACCATTGGTACCAGAACTATTCTAAATGTCTGTGATAATTAAAATGTCAGAATATGTGTGTGTGAAAACACTGTTCAAATCCTACATACAATATTAATTTTGTTTTTCCCGATAATTTAAAAGATGGGAATCTCACATAATGTCTGTTCTGAGCTCCTCATAAAGCAAATGTATTATTGTGGGTAAAGATGTACTTGCTTCAAAATGCAATAATATTTGTTTTGTGTCTACAATGTTAGGTCAAGAATCTCACACCATGGTCTGTTCAGCCCGAAAACGTTTGGAAATGTTTTTTCCAATTTTCACTTACGTGTCAGATATATGCTTGTGTTCAAACCTGACATATGTTCTATGTGTATGTGGTGTTACACTTTACATGGTAACACAGTGTTATGTTCATAACTACAGTGAAACCTGCCTAATCCGACCCTTATGTATTCTGGAATTCTGTCTGATCCAACTCCCACATAAACCAACATGCTGTCTACTATCCAACATAATGTTTAAATCATGTTTCTAATATAGATGACCAACAAACATCTTTGTATTCTGAAATCCTGTTCAATGTGAAAAGTATATTATGTTGTATCCTGCAGGTTGTCAGATTAAACAGGTTTAATTAAATAAAAAATAAATAAAAAATTAAACCACATGCAGAAATTAATGACTGCCATTATCACAAACATACATTATTATAGTTATTTTATTTACATAATCACGGTGGTGAGGAAGAGTCGCCACATACTACGGATATGAAACTGATCAGAATTAACCCTTTCACCCCTATGTAACTTTAGTAGACTCCACCATGCATTGATCTGGATGAGTCCATTATGGTCTTCAGTGTTGAAAGGGTTAAGGTGTCCCTAATAGTATAAAGCTACTTGTACTATACCTGTACCGCTGGGTAATTTTGGGGGCAATCCTATTTTCAAGATTTTAGCAGTAATTCGGATCTTCTAACCCTTTCACCACTGTAGACCATAATGGACTCATCCAGATCAATGCATGGTAGAGTCTTCTCAAGTTACATAGGGGTGAAAGAGTTAATTAAACATGACATTATACATATCCAACAATATGAAATCTGTTAATTAAACACTGTGTGATGTCATCTAATTTTTCACATACATGTAAATGCCAAAATAATACTGCACCATTATTAATCTGTATACAGGATTACATTGTAAAAAATATTTAAAAAGTGAATGACAGTCAACAAAAACAATATTGTGTTCTATCAGGATTATTTTGTTTTACCATTACATAAATATCATTGTATCCTGTACATGGTATGTGGTCAAGTTAAAAACAGCTGGAACTGTTATCACGATATTTTATGAATTTTTATACATATTTATTTTGCAATGATAACAAATATTGTCTGACAGTTGTTCGAAATATTTTTCTGTTGAAAATATTCACAATTTTTTTTCTGTTAATTGTTGTACATGTTGATTTTATTTTAATTGGTATATAGTTCTGCTTAATAATTTCCAGTCATGCAGTTGTTCAATTTGTCTATTTTGGACTTTGCTAGAGTAGCTAGCACCAAATGTTGAATTTAAGGGCGAATGAAATATGCATTGTACTTTCCATTTCACTGTCTCAAATGTTAAAATGTGAAGAAAAAAATTAAGAGGAGCATGGCAATAAATTATCAGGTAAGTACTGATGCTATTAACTTATGAAAATTCATACGTTTAACAAACAGATTTTTTTTTATTCTTTTTTGCTAACACAAAAGAATTTAGAAACATGCCCAGACATTGATAGGGCTTAACATGTTTGGCCCCTGTTGGGTAGGTTTTTGAGGGAGAATCTGTTTCCCATGCCCCTGTGCTGTAAAATGGCAGTTGATAGCTCTGTATAACAGCATGGTTTAGTGATGTGTTTGTTACTTTGTTTTGATGTTAAGGTGAAAGTGCTTTTTCGATTCCTGAATGTTATTATTTTGTTTAAGTTTAATTGTGATCTTGTTTTGTCTGAAGTTTTATATTATTAGCCTATAAGTTTATGTATTGTCTTCTGTTAAAAATGTTGTCTCCATTCAATCACAATGTTGTAATCTGTAAATATATATATATATATATAGACAAATATTTCTGTTAAGGTTAATTTAAGTTTGAGGATCGATCCCTATATCACTGCTAAAAGAAAGATAACTTTGTATTGAAGCTTTTACATCAGTATGGCAGTGTAGCTGTGATCAGTTATTTCTGAAAAAAAAACATACCTTGTGAAACTTTTAAGGATAAATGAAATATGAAATGACATTGTATCAAAAAACAACAACAGTGTTCTGAAAGTGCAGGAGAAAGCCACGCTGGGAGCTTGGGCTGGGAGCTCGGTCAGGGTTTGACCTCCTGTCCTACAATCACTGGGAGCTTGGGCTGGGAGCTTGGGCTGGGAGCTCGGTCAGGGTTTGACCTCCTGTCCTACAGTCGCAATAGTTTCACACTAACCAACAGAGATACCTAAAATCTATCTTAAAAAAATAAGGGGAGGTAACTGTTGTGTTTTGTAGTGGGACAGGGGTCCTTGAAACGTGTTGTTTTGTTAGATGTCTCATCCGTCTGTTTTAGTTCTGTTCATACTCATTTTGTTGTTTTTGTAAGCTCAGTTTAATATATAATATAGAATCTTACGTGAGTTTCCATTCCATAGAGATTAATGGAACTGAAGTCTTAAGAACTTTTCAAGAGGCTCGCTAATTTGAAATATTTGTGACATGTTTCATCAATTTCATATGAAATGAAAACGAATGTAAGATCCTTTTTATCACATTATCAAGATTTGTGGCATTATTTCATGTAAAACGGCAATTTTCATGCAAACTTGAAATGTAAAATGCCGCCATTTTGACTCCAGTAAGTAAGTCTGTGACGCCATGTACTTGTCCTAGGCGTGGCGTCACAATTAAAACAATTGACTCTTACAACCAATCACAGGGTTGATAGGTCATATTACAAGGGTTGGTATGCAAAAACATATGACATGGGTACTATTCACTGGATAACACAGTACATTGTGTGATAACACAGTACATTGTGTGATAAATATATATATATATATGATTATCAGTTGACTCTAAACCTGGTTTACAGACCAATATTTTCTAGTGTATTTTTATGGTTATTGTCATGTCATTCCTCTTTATGTTGTTGTCCCAATTGTTTGGTTTTTCCCAGGTCTTTGTTTACTTTCGCTGATCTGGTGTTTGTTAAGTGAATAGTTAAGTTTACATGTATTTCTGGCAGAGTTCTGATTCTCAACACTAAATTTACTTTTCAGTGTTTTATTTAACTGCATGCAAGTAATGAGTCAAATACAATTACCATTTTTTAAAATTTGATTCATTGGATTTTGAAAATTCATTAATTTGATATAGAATTTCATATGGTACACTGCTTTTCAGAACCTGATAGAATATGGCTCGATTATGATTACTTTGTGAAAAATGGAGATAAACCAACGTTTCTGGAGGTTTTCTGTATAGTACAGTACAACATGATCATACAGGATATTTCAGATATGTGAATTGAAATATTATTGATTAACATACAAACAACAAAATCAACAAAACACAGAATGTTGAAATAATGTAACAAGTCCTTTACACTTGCACCTCTGTATTGACTATCAGATTATACTGATCAGGTTATACTGATCAGATTATACTGATCAGGTTATACCGATCAGGTTATACTGATCAGATTATACTGATCAGGTTATACTGATCAGGTTATACTGATCGGATTATACTGATCAGGTTATACTGATCAGGTTATACTGATCAGATTATACTGATCAGGTTATACTGATCAGGTTATACTGATCAGGTTATACTGAGATTATAATGATCAGATTATACTGATCAGATTATACTGATCAGGTTATACTGATCAGGTTATACTGATCAGGTTATACTGAGATTATAATGATCAGATTATACTGATCAGATTATACTAATCAGGTTATACTGATCAGGTTATACTGATCAGATTATACTGATCAGGTTATACTGATCAGGTTATACTGATCAGGTTATACTGAGATTATAATGATCAGATTATACTGATCAGATTATACTGATCAGGTTATACTGATCAGATTATACTGGGATTATACTGATCAGGTTATACTGAGATTATACTGATCAGGTTATACTGATCAGGTTATACTGATCAGATTATACTGATCAGATTATACTGAGATTATACTGATCAGATTATACTTAGATTATACTGAGATTATACTGATCAGATTATACTGAGATTACTGATCAGGTTATACTGATATTATACTGATCAGATTATACTGAGATTATACTGATCAGATTATACTGATCGTATTCACCACTTTCTACATACATTTCTGTACTAACACTGTATCATTGCATGATCAGGGATTTCTGCTGCATTTTCTGCTTTAGTAGACATAAGAGTAACCTAAATTGTTTTCCCTATAGCAATATGTATATAGGGCATTTATCTTTGTTGTTTCTCCTCAGCGTAATGCTATCCCTCGTTACCTCTGGTTAGCCAGTTGTCAGACTTTAGTGAAGGTGTGTGACATTTCAGTATGATAACACTTTAAAGTTGGCCGTGATAATAGCAGTGTTTTAATATGAGGACGCAGAACCTTAACATAAACAAGGGAATACCTGAAGAGTGAGCAAATCTGTAACTTAAATTCAGAATCATTTAAATTAAAGCAAAATATATGAACAAAAGAAAGATTTACCTAGACACCCCTGAAAAGTATAAACAGAGTAAGACCAGGTGTTCCAGAAGGGTAAGAATCTTCTGCTTCATCAACCACAACCGCCATGAACTCTAGGTTTAATAATATTAATGTCACACTCTCCAATGGAGAAGTGGGGCAGTGAAAACGACACAGCAATTAAGGCAGGACTTTCAGGCCGCACCACAAGTTGGTGAACAAACAAGGCTGAGGCATCGGTTCAGCCACCAAATCTAGAACATTCTGTTCTGAGATACAGTAGCTGATGACAAGTGGTTTTATGTCTCCTTTATATCTCATGCAGGGCACAATCTTCAGCATGTCATGGTTCTCAGCATCTGAGACTTTCTTCTCGACAAAGTTCCAATGTCAAAGTTGTTCTTTATGGCTGTTCATTGCAGTTGCACTTTACAATGGTAAGAGTGTGTTAAGCAAACTACAATCAGATGTATAATAGTAAAATTGAGGCTACACAAAGCTTATATTTTTATTTATGTTTTGTATGCCCATTCCCCTTCATTTAGTTCAAGTGCTTGTTATATTACTACTCTATGTCAAAACAAAACATAGATTTAGCACTGGGTCTAATAAGTCTTCACTGATCATGAGACCTATACTATTTTTAGCGTACCAATATGAAGCGTACACACAACAATGGAAAGATTTGCATATCCTTGAGTTTTAATTTAATGCATCAACTTGTGTTATATGGTAAATATCTCACCATTTACCGTGTACAAGTATCAGAATATTGTAGATTTTTATTTCCAACATTGAACAAATTATAAACATATGGAAACTAGATGTTTTTATGTGTTTAGAAATATTTTTAGATTTAAATTTCTGTTGGTG